AACATACTTGTCCATTCCGAAGTTTTAGGTAGTAGTTCTAGGGCATTAGGTCAATGAATTACTGAGCGAGGACAGAGAACGAAGGGCGCTGGTTGTTAGGTGCAACATACTAACTGGCAGGTTCGCTCGATGCACTCGTGAAGTTAAAATGACACTTTTTAAGTCATATTGTCAATTATTTTATACCTGCAATCTGTGGGTTAACTACAGTCAGAAGGTATACAGTGCTCTTGGAGTACAGTACAACAACAGTTTCAGTGCACTGTTGGGGCTGCCTCTCTTTTATATTATCTTTGACGTTTATTTTTTCATCAGATTCTCCCCCTGCCTTTGATATTTGACACATTCTGCCAGTATGTGTTATATATCCACTATATAGTAACAAATAATACAATTGGGCAAGTCTAATTTCTTCATCAAAAACACATTTTTTTATTGGGGTAATACCCAGAACGTAACTTATGAGTAGTAATTATATAATTTCTATTAATTTCAATAATATTATACCACGGTATCCGAAGAGGTTGACTTTGAATTGTTTTATACCACATTCCTTTTTCCCGTTCATTATATTAAAAGTACTTAAAGATGGTTTATATTTATAATAATTTGAAGTTCCTTAATATATTTATAAAATTGTCTAGAATACATATCTATTAGGTCTATATTTACCAAACTTAAATACATAAATTAATACATAAAGAGAATATCATCTTATCGAACGAGATCCATCAATTCATAAACCAAATTCGATAATGTTACTTGAAGATTAATTAATAGTATGTCAAAAAATTTTGTTAAAGAAATTCTTGTGGGGCCCTCCCACCAACGAAATAAAATAGTAGTCATTGTACTTTATTTGGTGTTACCGTATTTCATAAATCTTCAAAGCCGAAAGTAGTTCCTAGGCAAAACTTTATTACTTGTATAATGCTAATGATTTAAAAAAAAACATTTTCTTAAATTTTTCTTACAACTAAATAAATTTATGTTTGGCTATATTTCAAAAAGCGATCAGCATAAGTATTATAAAAAAATTCAAGGCCGCCTAAGTGGTGAAAAAAACATATGAATACATGACGTCATTTTAAAATGCAAATTGAATTAATCATCAAATAAATAATAAATGGGCAGGTAACGCATTTACAATTCCCCTGGTGTTGCAATTGTTCACGGACTTACCATCAGGTGAGCCGTTACAAGTTGGTTCGATACATTTAACGTATAAAAATTTGCGGTTTCATAAAAATTTTAAACCGACTCGTAGCGTGTTCCCGATATCAGAGTGCGATTTGATTTGATTTCATGCGGTTTCCATGCGATGAGAGTAAAAGTGGTCAACACACACCGACTCGTTACCTACGCTGTCAAAGTTGTCATTTCCCGTCGAATATTGGCACCATTCACTAAACTTTATTCAGACTCTTCGTGTAATTGTCACTTTGATAGACAGTAGTGTATCCTCAATATCCAAACAATGGAAAGTGAGAGTGAGCTCTACAAGTCAAGTCAGACCTCTCAGTAGAGAGAAATTGTGTTCTGTGAGCCAGACTGACCTAATGTGGTAATACGACACGCCAAGCAGAAATTATGCGAAAAAAATTCGTATAATTGAAAAATATATAATTGAAACGATGATTTTTTATTATTTCAAACATCAATATATATCTATAATGATTTCAAAAACCTGCAGGTTACTTTAAGGCTACAAGATTTTTTCCGTCGCCGCCAAATACGTGTTAAATTAGCATTTTCATTTGTCATAAGTTGCATGATGTGTACAATGAAATTTAAAGCAGGCGCCTATCCATCCAACTATAACAGCACTTTGACCTAAGCCCACATTAAACAATTTTGCCCTAAAAAAAACTAAGTTATTGCACAGTAAATTTCCCTGAAGAACGCAACTTTGTTTGAACAATTATACTAGAAAATTGTCTGAGAAAATAATGCAATTGTTGCCACTGTGACATGCAATCGTAAGATTTTGAATTTTCCTTATTATTTTCATTAAAAATTTAATTGTACTTTTAAACTAACCTGGTTTTCTGTATTTTTCTGCTCCGTTTTGACGACAATTAAACCCATTTATTACATTACAACAGTTTATACACTGCACAATGATTTATATTTCTTTCCTTGTTTCAGACAAAATGTCGTCGATTAAACTGCCATCGGTTGTAGTCAAATGACAATAACTAGAATAAAGGTACGAAAAAATTACCTATTTATGTGCTCATAATAACATTTGCATTAAATATACAATTATTTAAAAGTGTAGCATTAGTTTTGTATTAATAATTAATACTTATTTATATATTAAATAAGGCCTATTTATTATATTTTCAATTTCGAATCAAAGTGCATACATGGTTTCCATTAGTATCAATTAAGTATGCAAATTCAGTTACTTTAGTGTACCTATGTTTAATAAGCTGAATAGTCAGACAAATGTTAAAGTTCCAAACTAACTAAACAACTGAACAGCTGAACAGCACATAAGTAGATCCAGAAGTTGCTAATTTAGTTGTTAAGTATTTAATGGTGCTCATAGTGAAAGTACGATGTGCAACAAAAGTGAACTTTTAGGTATATTATTTTATTATATATAATGGGCGTTCAAAAGAAGTGAGAATGACGTACAAAGTCTGTGCAATTCTAAAAAGTAAATACTGTCTGGTAAAGCTAGAATATATAGTAAGATATGTACATAAAATAACTGATTTGCTTTTCTTTTTTTTTTTTATAAAACTAAATCGACAAACAAACTTGAAGTCCAAATGATAATAATGATAAGTGGTTTTTGAAGCTCATGCGACTAACTTCAAACAAAGTAGGCTGCAGTTGCGTTGTCACCTATGAGGAACAAAATGGAATGACATACAGCCTGTAATTGTAATGGTTCTATATATCCTTTAGAACGGGACACAGTAGTGCAAGCAATGCTATTTGACGATAAAAACAGGACGGAAAAGTCCAACATCTCCAGCTGCTAAGAAATTTAAGTCGTTCCGTTGATAAGAGGATGTGAGAGGACATATATGAAATGATGATTCTTTAAGTGCTCAGGAATGCCACAAAACACGGTCCTAAGCCACCTGCACTCATCGACGTCCTACATCTCTTACCTGGTCGTCACTTCATCAAGTGGTCCAAGTCCGCTTACTGATCCGTTGGGCTATGTCGGTTACTCTGGTTTTACTGAGGATTGATATTTTTTATAAAATATGTGTGACAAGCGAGCCCACAGTCCACTTGATGGTAAGTGAATGCTGTGGCCTATAGATACCTACATCTATCCTCCATTAAGAATCAAAATACAATGCCTCTTATCCAGTAAAAAGGCTCTCCGGTTCTCTACACGCACTATACGAGACATAGCGGCCTTAAACTTATATATATAATTTATTAGGTGGCATCACGAAGTTTATCACGCAGAGAAATATAATATAAATATAAAAATAACTCGCTGAGCCACCATAAGATTCCTCACAAGTCGGCAGTGAAGGACCACCTATCATGCATTTGTCATGATCACACTGGGTGCACACTGTTGTTTTCAAATTTTGAGGTATACTGGACGAGAAGATGTGTCGTAAACGCCTCGGTCGAAGTTAGATTTACCTAGTCAATATAAAATCAAGTTTTAATTAGATAACAATAAAATTAAAAATAAAATATCTCTTGAGATCTACCATAAATGTTGGTTTAGAAACATTTTTGTAAAGTTTTTTTTTTCAAAATTTCAACGTTTTAAAATATTTATAAGTATGCTTAGCTGGCCAGGTAGACGTTGTTCTGCTCTTTCCGAAGACCCTTCCTATAAAAAATTCTGAAATTCGAAATAAAAAATATTGAGAGTCACTTATCGAGAGAAAAACTATCCTATCTCTCAAGTTAGACCAAACTACACACAGTTTGAAAAATTTCATTGAAATCAATTCAGTAGTTTAGGAGTTCATCGCGGACAAACAATGTGACACGTAATTTTTATACATAAAGATGAGCGCCGCGTGGGCAACTTAAAAAAGGCGGAGACTATTAGTTTTTCTTATTTAATGGCTGGCAATTTCTTCAAAATTAACAGATCTGATAACGGTTATCGAATCAAAAGCCTGTGGCATGGATATTTTTTCTAAGCTTTTTATAATTTATACAATTTTGAAACTATTATTAGTTCAATTTATAATTTACACTTGCGATTATTGTCACTTGGTGAAATTTTTGTGCTATGGTTAAACACTTGCACTAGTTTCACAATAGTTATTTTAAACTAACGTTCCGCCCCGGCTTCGCACGCGTGAATTCTGGATCTCGACAACAGCGCCACCTACCGGGATTCAATTGTGAATCTCAAACGCACACAAAAAATTTCATAAAAATTGTTGGAGACGTTTTCGAGTTTTAGCGAGACTAACGGACAGCAATTTTCTATTATACTAATTATAAAACAGACCGGTTTCGCCTCACTGAATTTAAAATAAATATTGCGAAAGCAGTACAAGTATTTATGCAAATAACAAAAATAATATTTTCTAAATAACGAAATTCAAAACATGTGCACTCGTGGTAAGAATCAATGAATTTATATAGCCTTTAGCCGGTCGCTAGAGAACCTTTAGAACACCTAAATTTATTTCAATTACTAGTATTTATTGATAGATCAATTTGATAAAATTTTAATGAAAAAAAAAACAATCAATTTAATAACTATCCATGATATATGCTTCTACTTCGTACATATAATACGGCCTATATTTTCTTCATGGTGAAAACTCACCAGGTACCTACGATTACAGAATAAAATTAACTGTAGCGGGTGTCTCAGAACTGATTTTTTGAAGCATTCCTTGAGGGTGGCTTATGTCAACGGACTTGAAAAGGACTGTAAAGATAATTATGATGATTATAATGTAAGTGATGATAGAATTATTATATTAATGTGTATTGTGATAATTATAATAAACATTTCAATATATTCATCAGTGTCGGGAGCGCTCATGAGACAGTCGTGTCATCGCCTGCTTGAGCACCAACAGGCCGGCGGGGACGAGCCCCCGTTTTACTCACCAATAGATCAAATTTCAGGTAAATACTGCAAGTCAATAGAGGGCGTACGTAAACTTGCGCACCGTGGCTTTCCTAGGTAATAAATTACTCCAATCAAAGGATAATTGACAAACAACGTAAGCAAACGTTAGCATCCTCTATCAATATTGATATGTGATTGAAAGTGGTGCCCATGTTTACGTAACGTCTACATTCAATAGAACATCGTTTTATCCTATAAACTAACCTAAATGATGTTTTCTCAAATTAAACAATATAATTAAATTTATTTATTCATGTCAGTATTAAGAATAAAAACAATAAATCGAAATAGTATTCGTAGAATAACTTTGCTACACGTTATTTTTAAGTTTCGCACAAAATTATGTTTTTAAGTTTCGCACAAAATTATGTCGATTTATGAGACACTTATCACTTTAAAATTGTTATCAATCTACACATAATAATTGAAATAAACCAATGAAATAAATTAACTAGCTAGTAATAATGTTTACGGGATTTCAACAACAACAAACAAATGACATTCAACTATGTCGACGCCGTGCCGCGCCGTTGTCGTTTTAAAAAAAATATAATTGTTAATTCCTTCAATTTTATAAAGCTATAAACAATAATTAAATAATAATGTAATAATGTAATCTTTACAAATAGAATGCGCTACTTTAATTACAGTTAATTAATTAAGGGAGAATTTTTCGAGCGTCAGATAATAAAAGCTATTCATCAAATAAATTATAACATGACTGAATTTAAAATTGAAACAATTAAACTATCTTATCCATTAAATAACATAAACTTGTATTTTATCCTAAATCTAACTTTTTTAAGCTATTCTTAACCAGTGCTTGACTACTTTACCACTTGATGGTAAGTAGTAATGGATGCGAAAATAGCACAGCGCAGCTTATACTCTTGACTTAAAGACACCCACATTGTAATCGGATGAAAAGATAGCAGATGCTGGCAACTTATTCCACGCATGAAGAACCATTAAATATTTATATAATGATTGAGAGATCATACCTAATTCAAATTAATCTATGCATAAAAATAAATTTTGAATATTTTTAATGGCGTGTTAGATCTACTAGTAGTAGGTATTTGTACCGATAATATACGAAAATTATATACTATGTATACCAACATGTTTTGCTATGTTTTATATTCCAAATTAAATATTAGGACCTGTTTGTTGTGGCCATTGGCACTAATTAGCAGTACGGTGATGATGTTGGTGCGATTTTATGCTGTTATAAAAAGTAAATAATTTTAATTACTGTTTCATAACTATTTGATAACTATATGTACAGCGGCACGTACAGCGGAAAATATAAATACAGATCTAAAAATCAAACAAATTTAAATAGTTTAAAAGTATTACAAATTATATTATTCGTATGTGCAGTTGTAAAAAGTATACCCAATGTGTTAAATTCATATCAAGTCACCTCGCCGACCAATCAATTATCATTAAAGGTAAACTTGTTAAACGGTTATTAGGCGGCCGAACATTAATTTTCATCAGGATCAAATTCTCCCCGATAAAGGGTTGCCCCTTTATATGAATATTATCATATTCACTTCTAAATTCTTTTTATAATGTAATGTGCAGATAGATTCACTCTGTTATCATTACCGCAAATTACCTACTAGATCTACGACTGGAGTGATTGAATCTTTGTGTCCCCATAATCTTCACCTGATAGTTTAATTTTAAAAAAAATACTCATCACCAAAAAATTATTCATTGGTCCACTTTTCAATAGCAATATTTGGCATACGTCAGTCTATTTCTACGATGAAGAGTTCGAAGTTTTGTAGCTTTTGTGACTTAGTGCGTGCCAATGTACATTATATTTCGAACCTGGTGCACTCAATTAGGGAGCTCCTCAAAATTTTTCAGCTGATTTCTGGAATGCGGATGGATAAGAATTTGGACGAACGCAGAACTGAGTAAAATTATTATTTCTTTCCTTGCCTTATCCTATTATTTTCGTGAGCGAACAATAATATGAGTATTCACTCTCTAGAATACTAGAATTTGGCAAGGCAAATTAGTGCGTAGTTGGAACTATTTCACACTTTCCTGATTGTTGACAAAAAGCCTGAAATGATTTCTGATCGATGCAAATGTATTATATATGTGTCGTCAAGTCCTTGATTTGATTAAAATGTTCAAAATAATATTCTAAATAAACTTATGTGCACCGTTACCGCGTCCGTTACAGCGTATCAAAAGTCCATTGCTGAGCATAGGCCTCCTCCATAGATTCCATCATAGGGGGAATATTTGCCATAGTTGCCACGCTTTACAAGCGAGTTTTTATAAGGAAGACACTGCTGCCCATCTCTTAGTTTGTTTCTCCCTGTCGCCTCCTACGACATCCTTGCGACGACAATGGGTAATAGATATTCTTTCACCGCCGCTTACATGATTTTAACTAATTACATCACTATTAGAAAAATCTCTTAAAATTATTTTTGTATTATTTATAAAGTTTGAACAACTGTTGTAATTAATATTGTAACAACAAATATAATACCTACCAGTCAGCAATAAAAAAAATATGCATCATTATTAACGGCATATTCATGCCGCTACATACATATTAAATTCTATACAAATGGGCACTATAGGGTTATAATATGCATTTAAGAACATTTAAATTTACCAGAGCTCTGCTTATTTGCGAGGAGTCAATGTAGTGTGGCGTTACAAAATAATAACTGTCCGAACGGCACAAAGTAGAATCCTCAGAATAGGCTTAGCATCGGAACGACTACGGCTCAGTGCCATAGGAGAATAAACAACGAGTTTTGATACAGTGGTACCTGATCATGTGGCCCGGGAGGCCGGCGGCAAGCTGACACGATATGCGCCGACGGAAGAGGACGAGGCTACACTCAGGGAACTTCTACTTAGGTACGTGTGACCCTAGCGAAATGTCGAAAAACATTAGCTTTCCGCCTTTACTACTGGCTTCATTGCATTGTCGATTCATGAAAATCTGTATGTCGATGTTTCTATAAAACATTTTTCACCTTGGCTTAGCATCTCAAGTATCTTATATTGCAGATATATTATTGATGCATTTCGCGGCGCCTCTGTCATTAATCACTTTCCCTTACTTCATAACATCGGACTATAGTCCACCGTACGTACAAATTCGTACATTAGTATCGATGGCCATGACCAAACAGAGGAATGCTTTGACAGAGAGTCAAGCTCAGCGTTTTAGATTTTAATCTTATACTTCAATCCATTTATAAAAAGGGCTTTTTAAATTGAGTAAATAAAAAAATCTTCGCGGTGGGTAGGACCAGCTTGCATGTGTGTGACGTATTGTGTTCATGGTTGTCGTAGATTAAGGTTTTTTTTCCATAATAATTAAACCATTTAGAAAACGCACCTCGAGCAGCTTAGGTAATATGTATATTCTTACACTATTAATTATTAAATACCTACCATAGTTTACAACTGGTATATAACAAATATACAATAAAAATTGTGTTTTCATAGCCTTGTACTATAATAATTTAATAATTAGCGGCTTACAAACTCTGTTAAGGTAACAAAAACAAAATGAAAAATATAAGCGAACTAAATGCGATAAATTATTGGTAATAAAACATATGGCAACAATTTTCGAGCAAAATTTTCAGACTAGCAAGCTTATATCCTACTTATACTTCATTATATGAAAATATTTTACAGAGTAACAATTTATAAACAGCTTAAACCAATTATGTATTTGTAACGTTCGTTCATTAAATTGAATTATTTTCTGTATAATGTTTGTCTTTCATATTTTATTTAGTTCCAACTTCATTGGCTATCGATAGAATAAAATTAGCATAATATCGTACTTAAACTTCATTAGAGGGAATTATATTTCATGGTACCAATTTGGAAAAAGCTTTTACCAATTATGTAGTTGTTTATGTTCATTTATATAGTTTTAATTGAAGATAGAATTTATATATTTTATACATGTTAGAGCCACGCTGCAGATATATTATGGTTGTAGCACGAGTAGGTCGGCCCGACCGGGGTAGGTCCACGCTTTAACAGAATACCAGCGTGGAATAGCAACGTCATGCTGCCGTGTTTCATATGGTAAGTGTAGAGAACCGGAGACCCTTTTTACTGAAAAAGAGGCATTCCATTTTGGTCGTCAGGTGTGACTGCATTTACATTATTTTTTAAGAATAAATGTAGATGTCTATGGGCCACACTATCCACATACAATCAGGTGGATTGTGTGTTCGTTTTTCACTTTTAATCCATAAAAAATTTCAGTGTAGCCATAAGTTTTGTTACACATTAAAATACACATCTAGACTCGCGGCAGTGTGTCAACCAAGTTTGGAATAGGAAATAGCGACAAGAGCGAAATGAGATAACGACCCACCGATAATAGTAGCACGTATCTTTCCATAATTCAAAAACTATTAAACCTACATACTTGTAATTAATAAGGATCGCCTGAATATCTGGAATTAGTGGCAATTGATTTTTATATGTAGATAGACACGATCTATACTTAAAAATTGCCTTATTATTCAATGTAAGTAACAACACGCCAGGGAAGCAAATAGTACTCACACTTTCAGTTCTGTCAGTTCTAAAAAATAATAAATAGTGTTACTAAAAGGAAAGGAAGTGCTCATTGCTAATCATAATTATTACTCTAAGTAATCACTAATCCTAATCCAACTGACAGGTGGACAGGTGTCAGGGACGCATCATACACTCCGCGGCTACTCGGCGTAATCTACGTAATTTGATTCTCAAAACATTATATTATGTGCTATATTTTTTTAAATTGATTTAAAAAGCAATCTATTTATTTATTTTGAAAAACAAAGATATTTCTGTGTAAGGGGCCTTAGAACGAAATATGCTCAGAAATTTAATTGATTTTATTACTAAGATTATTTTACATTACGTTAAATTACATAACAATTGCTCTTCACAATAAATAGGATTGCAATGAGGGAGGGACTGAGGAATATGGGATGTGATATTCACATGGAGTAGTTACATTTATTTATACAAAATATGGATGATAAACGAGCATACAGTTCACTTAATTGTAAGTGGATGCTGTGGCACATAGACATCTATATTTATCATCAATTAAGAATCAAAATGCAGATGCGTTGTCACCCATGAGGACTAGATGGAATGCCTCGTTTCCAGTAAAAAGGGTTTCCGGTTCTCTACACTCACCATGCGAAACACAGCAGCATTAAATTGCTATTTTACGCTGGTATTCTGTGAGAGCATGGACAAGGGTAGGAGCTGGCATTTCTACCCTGGTCGAGCCAACCAATTCGTGTTACAATCATAATATAGCTGCACCTTGGCAGAGGCAAAGCTTCTAAGAAGCTGTAAAATTTTTTACATATTTTGGTAGGGTTGGCACAGGAGGAAAACTATATAAACAAAACGTTTATCAGCATTTTAATAGATACTTAAAATATAATACTTTTTATAAACTACGTATTCTATTTTTTTTTTTTTACTTTTATAATTATATTTCTTCAACAATTCATTGTGGCTTTTAATTAAATGGTAAATTCAAAATTTAATGTAAAGTTTTTTAAAATAATCTATTGAAAAGCACTCGCATTTCATAACAAATATAAAATCTTGCACACGTTTTAATATTTCACTACCAATATTTACAATGTTTCTTTCGACGTCAAAATATACGCGATAAAATTGTGAGGAAGTATTATTAAATAATATTAAATACAAATATCCCGATATATTGACTAAACCATTTTTTTCTGGTAAATCAAATAGATAATCAATTATTTCTACTGTTAAAACAGGGGCAGTAATATTATCAGTTTGTGGTGATGGTGTATGGTTAAAATATGTAACATATCAAAATCGTATGGTGTTTATACATGGTGTTTCATAAGTAACATATAAAAATCGTATCCACAATAATTATTTTGAGGTTTCCCTAAGATATTGGTTATAAACATCTTATTGAAGGCAATACTAACTATAGTAAAATTATTTTGTCCGTGAAGTTGGGGTCATAAATCATACCTCGGCCTCAGGCCGGCTAGGGCTGTGAGCATGTTGCGCGGGCTCAACGCCATTATCGATAACAACAAATGAATCATCGAAGGCAGGTACACAGCGGTGGTGCAGTATACAAAGAGTGGTGCGACATTGTTATGTTATGAGTTATTTGTTTTCCATTATTATCCCCGCCTAGTACCTGTAAATTAGTGCAATGATAACTTAGTACATATATTGAAGAGAAATTTGTTTTACGCATTCGTTCTCTGAATTTCTTTAGTGACGCAATGGCTACTCTTTTGTTTTGTACCAAAACGGCAGAATTTATTCAAAATAATATTTTGCCTGTCGACACCAATATACCAGCACAAGCAAGTGTTGTTATCAACAATGTTTTAACATTTTTCACTGAAATGAAAATAGATCCCGAAAAGTTCCAAAGTGTTAATTTCTGCCCTTCTCGTGAACTTGCTGCGGCGATATGTGGTGTGAGTGTTAGAGCGGTCGACAAAATTAAAAAAGAGTGTATAAAGGGAGAAGTTAGCTCTCCGCGAGAAAGGCCTTGTACAGTTGTTTGCTAAAGTCGTCTAAAGCAGTTAACGTTACACAACTTTGACAAAAGTGTAATTAAACAAATACTGTCATCATTTTATTGCGACGATGAATATCCTTTCACGGCTAAAATTTTTAGTTATAGATACCTAATTAATAATTTATTTTAAATCATTATTATTCTTATTTTATCTATTTTTATCATTAATCTCATAATGACAAAACTAAATACACTATCGATAACGCTTTTCGACAACAATAATGCTCATCACTATGCTCGCCCCTAAGGCCCGTGAGTGGGAGAGAGAGCGAAATACTACGATGATTTATGACCCAAACTGCACGGACAAAATAATTCTAGTATAGACGAAATGTTGGTTCCTGGTAGTTACCACCCGCCTATCTGAGTTTTCCAAAGAAATTTTCGATACAATCTTTATTTAGACGTCTCGTAAACATATATTAATTTAATTTCTTCTGATTTTATTTAATTCTTCATGAAGTTTTATTAAAGATTTTATAGACACTTGAAATCCGTGTATGAAATTCATACTATTTGTAACGTCCTTCTGCCTATCACTTGTTATTGATTTTAGTTTCCTGAAAAATGTTAGCATTTCTTCTAAAAACTCAATTTGATAACTATCGTATCGAAAAGCTCTTTTATATTTATTAGGACATCGCAGTGTACTTGAGTTTAAGAAATCAATCAAATTATTGATTTTATTTGCAAAATCAGCGGTATCTCTTCCGGCAACCTCGATAACATTTAAATCTACGTAAACCATATTTACACTTTTTTATATTTCATTTGATACCTATTATTGTTTATAAAATAAAATATGACACTTGTTATTTTTTACACAACCCTGAGTTTGAGCACTGGACGAGCCGGTTTGAAGCAGTTTCTCTCTGTACGTGACGAGCCGCCAGTGCTCACGCACACTCGTGCCTCAAGCTTGTAATAGTGTATCTACCACGCGCGATTATATGAAGCTTTGCCTCTGTACGGTACGATTTCTTTACTCATGTGGCTCTACCACGTAAAACACATATATACATATGGATATTCAGTATGGAATGTCTATTACAAGTAAAACAACATAAAAACCTAAATTTCGATTATTATAAAATTCTATCTATTTCAAGACTTTGGGCATATTTCATTATATTATAGTAAAAAATCGAGCTGTAGTATTTTCTTGTAATACTAATCCCACCAAAAACATTCTGTAAAAAACTAGCCAAGTCTCCATGGAGCTGCTTGTTTATCTCTAAAAAGTAATGAAATCTAGACAAAGTCATGCCAAGTCTAAGGTTCCTTACTG